TCTCCATTATTAAATAGAGCTAGTAATACCTCGCTGCATAATTCCTGCAAGAATTAATAAGGTGAGGTATGTAAAGCGTCTTCCATGTCAGCTAGCACACAGTAGGTGCTCAATCTACAATAGTTATTACTTTTTTTATACATTCACCCAAACACTAACACACACACTATACACAGACACCCAAAACATACACTTATATACACACTAACAGCTATCCTGAAACCATATCTGACCCTTTGACCACAGAAAGTATAGCTGTTTCTCAGTTGAGTCCTGGAACTTTCACGAACAAGCTTCTCTAAGGACTCACAACTGAAGAATGGATGCCAAGAAAAGAGCTGGAAAAATGGCATCCTGCCCAGTTGAAATGAAATGCTAAGAATTCCTGTCTCAGTTACTTTTAACCCTGGATGGAGATGGATAACATTTATAAGGTTTGATTTTAGGGAGTCAAGGGGGGGTGGAGGACCTGAGGCCAGTGGCACTCCCAGTGCAAGAGGAACGGAGGTAACTAAAGTCAGCCATCTACCATGAGACTGGCAGAGGGCTGGGCCATCAAAACGATCGACCTGGCTCCATCTCTGTTCCTCATCCCACGGGGTAAATGGTGCCAGTGATCCCTCCAGTGCCCCAGATGGTTCACATACAGCAGCTCCAATGCTAAGACCAGGAAGAAGGAGGATATGAGCATTCGCCATTACTCTTTCCTCCTCCAGTTCACTCCACTGTTCTGAGCAAGCACGGCACTGGTAACACTTTCTCAAATGAGGCCAGCCCTGACTTCCTTGATGCCTCTTCCACTTCCAAGCAGCGATGCCTCTGGATTCTGTGTCCTCTACACTGTTACATCTCTTCCACATCAGCTCTCCTAAAATCTGAGTCTTCGGTACAGCCAACTTGATTTTTACTGACTTTACAGCCAAAAGTGTGCTCGAAGTTGACCCCTACCCACCAACGAAAAGCAGGCTCGTATTGTACTTGAAAATGTGCTCTTTTTAATTAATGAGCTTTGCAAAATGGTCCACAGTGCTCTGGTGGAAAACACGTGCTGTTTAGCCACGAGTAGGGTTTTAGGTTTTAAAATGGCTGCACTATGAATTCTGAAGGACAGATGGGGAGAGGAATTTCTAGCTGAAGAATAGAGGCTCTTGTCTTTGAGCTGCGACTTCACCAAAGGCAACCTTCAGCTTTGCACTTTCATGGTGGTTTGGAGATTGCTCTGCTCTTCTCCCAGCTGCTTCCCCATTCTGTCATCCCTCCCCCCCTCCTGCGCACTCCTCCATCCAATCTCTCTCTCCTTGTTCCCTTCTCCCTCTGCCTTGTCCCCAGGGAAATAACGGAACAAGCAAGCCTGCGGGGGTTTCAGACTCCAAACAAAGAACTGCTCCAACAACAGGCCAAAGCAAAAAGAAAACCAAGTCTCCAGACTCAACTGGCCAGGTCCACAGTGAGACTGTGGAGGCTTCTGATGCTGGAAGCTCAGGGTGATCCTTACCCAACATTTTCTCCTCAGCTTTATTCAAACACACACACATGGACAAGGTATAAAAACAAGAGTGTTTCATTAAAAATCTTTACAGGTTGGGACAAGAGCAAAATGGCAAGTGGGAGTCAAGAGCAGCAACGAGGAAAGCAGACTTGGCCAGTGCCTAGCCCCCAAGCTGCTTAGTTTGGGTGAGTCACAGTCCCCGGTAGTTACCTGATTATAAGCACAACAATCAAGGAGAGAGTGAACACAGCAGGTTTCAGTGGGCCGTGAGACACAAAGAAAAGTCCTCCCTCAAACGCTGCCCAGGATTCCGGTCTGAGGGACAGAGCATTTTGACTTTTGTGTGTTGGAAAACAACAGAGAACAGGGAAGACCACGGCTTGGGGCTTCTGAAGAGGTTTCTGTTAATTCAAGGTGGGCAGTCCGTGGGGTGGTTAAGAGCTCTGCTCAGACTCAGAGCCCTTGGAAGTGATGTGCAGTAGAAGCTCTAGACGAGGTACCAGGAGGTGTCACCAGCTGCGTCATATTTTAGGGTAAGTTATTTTCCCTCTGCGGCCTTCAGTTTCCTCTGACAAATGGGTATTAAAACCACTACCCCCTGTTGTTCGCAGGTTGGATTAAATGAGAAATATGAAATCATCGGCACCAGAAGGAAATAAAGTCCGAAACATGTAATAGGTACCAGGAATTGGGCAAGGGCATTACAGCCATCATTTCACAGCAACCCCACGAGTCCAGGGGAACTTATTTCCAATTTTCACATGAGGAAACCAAAATTCAGAGAGGTTAGGCTACTCTCCCAAGATCACATATGCAACCAGGAGGCAATGGAGGTGGGCTGTTATGAAGGTATAAATACCATTCTCCACGCAAAACACAACTTGACTAAAGACCAATGGCAACCAGGAATGATCAGCTCCCAATTCTGAGTTTCCTGAGAAAGTATTTTATACCAGACATCCCTGGCTCCTTTAATTCACCTTTTATATGTCCTTCCGAGCTCTGCATTGGAGTTCCTTTCACCTAAATTTAAAAGAAAGATGTTGGGAGGTAAGGGAGAAACAGCCGTCAAATGGTGTGACTGAAGTACACTCTCTGGCATGGAGGGAGGGCACAAGTCTGGCAAAGATGTGTGTTGTCAGTGGACACAAATTACGGGCAGAGGACAGGGTCAGGGGCACGTGGGCAGGAGAGGCCTATTGTTTTCCCTTAACAGCCGACCCACAAGCCAAAGTCCACCATCTGGTGGCATAAATTCAGCCTTGGAACTTCTGAAGAGCCAACCAGCAGGTGAAGCACATATTCAAAGGCCTCCCTGGATGGAGAAGGAAATGTGAAATGTCTGTACCAAAAAGAAAGAAGAAAGAAAAGGACTGCCATTGCATGCAAAGTTGGAACAGAAGAGAAATGCAAACAGAAATCCAGAAATGCACCGATTCCGATTTGGATCCTGCAGCTTTCTACCTGTGACTTGTCAGCTGCCAAAACAGGAGGCCTTCTTTAAGGGGGCCTGAGCCCCAGCTAGGGCTAATGGCTTTCATTATACCATTCGGTCACTTTTAGTTCTGCAAAATATAGCAGCCCCGGATAATACACTTTATTCTGTCAACCCAATCAACAGGATGGAAAGTTTCTCCTGTTGGAATGGATGTAGATGTTACAGTGACTGGAGATGCCACCTTTTCTGCAGCAAAACCTCTTTGCAGATAAACAGATGTGACCATGTTGCCCTTTCAGTGGACTGTTTTGTTTTTAGCAACAATGCTTACAATAATAATGATAAAAGGCAACAATAACAACAACAATAATAAAAGCTAACATTTACTGAGCATTTGCTATGTGGCTAGCACTGTGCCCAGTGCTTTTCACATGTCATCTCATTAAATCCTTACATCTATCACCCTGGCTATACGCTCTATTTCTCCTTCGATTATACAGGCAGGAATCAAAACTGTCAGAGAGGGAGCCCTAAGTGTCTTCAGCTCTCTCTGAATCCAGAGTTTGAGCCCTTAATAAACATCATTTCTTACTGTCTAACCTCTAAGTTCCCTTCTCATTTTAAGCTTCCATGAATGCATCTTCCGTCCTATATTTCTTTATTTCCCCTACATTATGGGATGAACCTTTACAAACCTGCCATTTCAAACAATGCTATTTTACTATTTCTTGCTGTCTCATGACAGTTTACAGGCTGCAATGCCCGACAGAACGAACATGTTTTAATTTTCACATTAAAAAAAGAATTTCCCAGGGGAAAGAGCATTTGATGGAAAGGCAAAACCTTTACAAGCACTCAAGGAGGCATTAAAATCCAAATTTCCAAAATATGGTAATTCCGTCAAAGTTGTGACTTACTCTGGAGCCCATGGGGACACTCATCCTGACCCATCTGTGAAAGCCATTAGCAGGCAGTAAGCCTTCAGGGGAGCAGGAGGAGAGGAGCCAATTCAGCTTCCAGCAAGGAGGCCAGGCTGCTTCTTTTAGCTTAAGTCTCACTGAGATGGTTTAAGACACTCTCCGGGAAGAGAGGTTCAAGCAAAGCAAATTGCAGCCTTGCAAGCTGCAGCTTTGGTACACGGCAGTGCGTCTATACATTCGTGGCACACTGGAGCCCTCCCCTGACTGTGGTTCGTGGATGCATCGACTGCAAGCAGAACTCTCTCACTGGGAAAATAATCTACATGCTTAAGTTACACAAGAGCCACGCTTGGACCGGCGGATGGCATCGCATCTGGTACCTATCACTTACCCTGGTGTGATTTGGACCAGCCCGGATTATTTATGGTTCACAAAACTCCCGTCAGACCCCAGCATATTCTAAGACCACATACCAAAGAATAATGGGATTAAAAATCTGCATTTCATCTCAAGACCTCTATGGCAGATTAGTAATGCTATGATCGGTTTTTGGGAAACCAAGAGTAAAGAGAACTAACTATGAACACTCCTTCAAGAAACCCAGTGTAGAGAACACATTGAGTCATGTGTTCCAGCCAGGCTGTGCAGTCATATTCTGGAGCTCTGTCACCATTTCTAATCTGAAAGCAATGGCTAAAATTAAACCTAAATAATTCCAGCGCCATTTCTTTACCTGGAAGTCTCAGCTCAGTCCTCCTTCCTCAGAGCCTCTCATGGTTTCTGCCATCCTGAGCCGAAAGGGCTCCTGTGCAGGACCACCCCCAGGTGTGTGGTTTTCAGCCCTCTCTCCTTTAATATTATCATTATTTTTAAAGGCAGCTGCACTTCTTTTAGAGAAAATGCTGCTTCTAAAGCACCAGGACTTAAGCATTTCTTCAGGACTCCCTATAGCTGCGACATGCCACTTTGCAATGGAGCCTTCTAATAAGCATAGGAAAGGCAAAAGGTGCCAGAGGGCCACTAAAACTGCCACCTGGCCAAGATAACGGAGCCCTGCCATCCTCCCCCAACACGAAGCCTCTAGATCTAGCTTTCTCATCCTCCCCAGAAAATACACTCTTGATTAATTTGTGAATTAGAGCAAATTCCTTACCTACCTCCAGGGAAGATGAAATGCCCAGTATCGGAGGAAGCTTCCGCCAGACCCTCTGAGCTTGTCAATTGCCCCAGTTCACTTTCTCCCTGAGTCTGGCTTCTAAGAACGCAAGCAGGATTGCAGGCAGCCAAAGCATCTTCTGAAATCCCTTCTCAAAATCTGGACCCTTCCTGAAGACAGCACCAGGCTTAGCCCAAGCTGCTCTGCATTCACTCACAGAAAAGAGCACTGCTGGGTCGAGACCCCGCTAGGGAGCCACCAAGCGGGGGGTGGCGGGGTGGGGAAGTGTGACTTCTACCCTTCCTTTGGATCCGATCGCCTTCTTGAGAGCCCCAGTTTCGTCTGCAGGAAGTCACATACCCCAGACTCAGCGTCACGAACTGATCCCGAGCCAGACCCAGGGCAAGCAGTCAGCTGGTCGCAGAGCCCAAGACAGTGAACTAGGAAATGTGCAGCTCGGCCAAAAAATAATAATAACTGTTGGCGGAGCTGCTGGTGGTGCCGGAGAAGTCGCTGTTGCAGTGCTCGCATCCTCCGCATGCTAATGAAGCTGTGACGTCAGCAAGTCAGTCGCGGCATCTGGACGTCCCATCCCCGCTGCCCAGCGCTGAGATTTATTTACATGTAAATTAGCCTCGCCTTCCAAATCAATAATCCCCAAGCCCGGAGACGGGAAGAAAGCCTTTGCTGGATGCAAAGGCCCTGGCTATGCAGCCTCCAAAGGAATACAAAAATATCACATATAAGAATAGAGGCTTTAAAGATACTCGCCTATTTTTTCTTTTTAACAGCTCTCTTATGTGCAGGGGATTAGATCTGGGCAGTTATTAACCTGAGCGCCTGTTTCAGATTATTATATACTGCACCAACCCAGGAGTGAAATCAAAGCTCTTTTTTTTTCCTCCCCAAAAGCTGTGTCCAGCCTTCAAATACCTCTACTTTCTTTCCTCTCTTCAACTTTCATTTGAGGTTGTTTCTTGGCTTGCGACTATGTCATCCTTGAATTTTTGTGCATCCCGGAAATAGAGTGCAGTTGACTGCTTTCCTCACAGGCTTGGGCAGTGAATTAGCCACCCCCTCCCTCAACCCTTGACCCAGCTCCAAGTGAGCATGGGAGATGACAAAGCATAAATCTGCCCAGTTGCATCTGAGAAAAGCTTGGACCCTTAGAGAGCATTGCTTCCATCTCTCCATTTTACAGATTAGTCAACTGACACTTTGAGTGGAGAAAGGCCTTTTCGGAGGTCACTCCGGGATTTTAGCAAGAATGGGCCAGAACCCACATTCCCTGAACCTCAAACTGGAGCTTCTGTTAAACACCTTTGGGTCTCTAATCTCCACTTCTCTTCACCAACAGGGACCTATCCAAGCAATCACAAAGAAAGAATTCTATAGAGTTAGGTAGCCCTGGGTTCAAATCCTGGCCTTGCTTCCTGGTAGTGATGTGACCCTCAGCAAGTAACTTAACTTTGGGGGTCACTGATTTCTTCACCGGTACCATCCCCTCATTCAATAAAGATTTTCTGAGCACCCACTCTGTGCCATGCACTCTTCTAGGGACTGGGTATAGATACAGTGCTTGTTCTCTCCTAGCTCATGTTCTAGTGCAATAAGGCAAAAATATTAAATGGAACTGTGGTGAGGATGGCCACAGTGTCACACAATAAATAACAGTTATTTCTGACATTTTGGATAAAGTCAAAAAAATTCACCAAGGCTTTCCTTCCATTCCAATGGCCACTGTTTCTGTCCTCTGAGTATTTCCATCGTCATCTTCTATTGTTTCGAATCAATCGTTCTTTCAATGCTGCCTATGCAGTATCCTGGGTCAGGGGAGATGCAAGTACAAGCCAATATTCCGGACTCTGTGCCTGTGATAGGATGTGCTGTGGTTCCCTAGGTGGAGGGCGACGGAGGGGCTGGGAGGCTGGGAGAGAGGTGTATTCCATCATGCACAGAAGCGTCCCCGAGGACAAAGCAGCCAGCACGACTCCTTGCCCACACTCCTCCGCCTGAAGAACCCACTCTGATGAGCTCTGCCCTTCCAGCTGGAGTTCCTGAAGCTTCAAATGAATTTCTTTGTTGGATGTGGAGAAGTTAAATTATGTCTTTTGTTGTACGTAATTGTATTAATAATGCTTAATAACTTCTTTCAGAATGCTTCTCTCTGGTTCACAGAGACCTTTCATGGTGAAATCATGGGACCTGGAATAACTTTTCACTAATAGAAATGGAATACAAGTGAATGAGCAATACTCTGCTTTTGGTCTCCAGCATACAGAACTCAGAGCATGTGGGGAAGAAGATGGTTCCCTCAGACCTCAATATCCTCCAAGAAGTACATCACCAAATGTAACCGTTTGAGGCCACCCATGACCAAATGGAGGCAGTGACATCCTACCCTGGTGTGGCTATGGGCAAGTCACTTCAACTTTCTATGCTCCAGTTCTTTATCTGAAGATGGGCCCACTACTCTCTGATCTCCTTATTATCAGTATATCATATGAGAATTATGAGAAGCAATTCACAAGTGATTGACAGTGAAGCAATGAAGAGAAAAGCTAGAACAAAGAAAGTGAAAAGAGATTAATCTTCATCTGGAGTAGATTTGACACATGACTATCAACTTCAAAAGAGGTAGCAGTATACATGGGGTCTGGAATGGATTACCTTGGGACAGACCCCGGCTCTGACACTTGCTAATTCTATGATATGGGGCCTGAGGTTCTCACCTATAACAAGAGGGACAATAACAGTGCCTACCCTTGAAGGGCTGTTTCAAGGATCTAACGAGAATGAATGTGAAGCACTCAGCACTGAGCCTAGCACACAGCAAACATTCAATAAACATTAGCTATTGGTAGGGGAAGTAATGATGCTTTCACTGTTAAGTTTGGCACTAATTTGTTAACTGACTAGACAAAATTCAAAAGGTGGGGAGGAAGTGAGCAAATGGAAGACTGCAAAATCACCCCCATTCCTAGGGCACAACTCAAAACTCCACCTAATGTGGGCGAGCTGTTGCCATGCTCTTTGTACCTGAAATAACACAAACACTTTTCAATTGCTGTGAAACTGGGGAAGAAAGCAGTAAAAATGACCAAGTCCCTGGGAGCCTCCTCCTCCAAAGCTGCACAATAGGACAAGAAAACTATATTTCTGGGAAGCAGGGGTGCTTCATTCATTCACTCATGTGTCCATTCACTCTAAATGAACTCCTACTATTTGTCAGTTACTGTGTGAGGCCTGATGGGCATCATGGTGACCAACACAGACAGGGGCCCTGCCTTAGAAGAGCTTAGAAATGAGGGGAAGACAATTAAGCAAGCAATTAGAAGAGAGTGAAATGCATGTTATGATAGGGCGCGTGCAGAGTTCTCGAAGGTCTAATTACAGTCAGGAGGGGGATGGTGCAAAAGCACTTTGCTGAATCCTTTTGACAGCATGTTCTCTGTGGGTGCTGCTCAGTGGTGGGGAAGCTAGAGGTCTAGGCATCGCCCTTGCACTGATTATTGAAATAAAATGCACGGATCGATAAATCTTTGTGACAATTATTTTCAACCTGGAGACCATTCTACTCAGGATTTTTGAAAAATATGCTGTTAGGTATTAGAGAAGGTGAGGGAACTACTTTGGAAATTTCAGAGACCTGGTAAAAGGGGACAAAACTCCAACTGTTTTTACAAAAACAGAGTGGAACTCCACATTCATGACAGCAAACTTGTTGGGTGGCTGAGACAGGGGGGAAGCAGGAGAGGAAAGGGAATACAGATGACACACTTAATCAAGTATCTATTGGGGATCTGTGAAATGCAGGACACTCTTGTGGGGAGACAAGGAGGCAACTGCTGACCTTCAGAACTTTCTAGTTAGATAGGATGACAAAATATTTACATAAATGACGATAACTGTATAAAGTATGTACAAAGAGGGCCAAGGAAGCCAAGATTGACTGTGGCTGAGGTGATCAGAAATCAGGAAAAGTGTGATTTCAGTCAGGTTGAAGGTCAAAATTATTTTGTTGGAGTGAAAAACAATTTTATAGTGGGGAAAGCCCTACTAAGCATGACACAAAAGCCAGAAGCCAAAATGAAAAGACTTCTAAAATTGCCAAGGTCAAGAATTAGCTGCTAGAGAGAGTGGCACAGGCAGGAGGAAGAGCATGAATATGAGGAAAGTGTTAGCACAAATGCAGAGTTCAAAGACTCATCTGCAATAGGCACCAGGGAGCAGAGAAGCATCAACACAACGCCGCAGGCAATGACAAAGAGGCTGCTCCATGCATGTGGGAAAATCAAATCATCCTTCCATCCTAGTCAGCATCAGTCAACATCTTGTTAGAGGGTTATGGGGCCAGAGTGAATCACTACTGGTTAGCTTACAGAGGAGAAGGACTTGACGACAAGGACTGTGGCCTCCTAGAAGGGCGTTAATGAGGACAGTCATAATGAACTATTTTTTATCTCTGTTTCCATAGATGTGCAATAAGAAGGAATGGATTTCAAATGAACTAAAAAGGGATTCCACTGCGCCCAAGGAAGACTCTTGAAAACTGCGATGGTAGAAATGGCATTGGGTCACTCAGAGCAATGGTAGCATCTTGGTCTTAGGAGCACTATAAAAGGATAGACAGCACCAGTCCTTGCTGGTTTAGATTTATACCTTCTGGCCCTGATACTGTGAATCCCTAATTACTATAAGGGATATTACCAAAGTTCCAATCCACTCATCTAATAAAGGTCCATTCCGTAAGTTCATTTAAGTTTATTTTATTAAAAAGAGTATGCTGTGTAATATATATATACTATAACTACATAATATATATCATAGTTTTAAAGAACAATATTCTTTAAAACTTTATATTATGTATATATGCGTGTCTGTGTGTATATGTATGCATGTATATGTGTGTATATACATATCGTTTTAAATAATCTACTCAAGAGTGGTTCTCTGATGTTTAGATTCCAAAATCCAGTAAATTTTTTTAAATGGGGGAGAAGAGGCTGTCAGGAGTTGTTATATTAGTTGGGATAGGCTAGGCTGTGATGCAGTAACCGACGATTGTAGATCTCAGCAGTTTAATACAAAGAAGGCCGATTTCTCACTCACACAGAGTTGACGGGAGGTCCAGAGCCTCTCCAGCACCTCTATCCAAAGCAGTGATGCAGGGATCTAGTCTGCTTCCTTCTTGTGTCTCTGTGATCTCAACACATAATTTCCAGGTTACAGTCACAGAGGAAGAGAGATCTAGAGAGGCATTTAGGTGCTTCAGCTTGAAGGTGAATGATACCACTTTCCTTGGTCAAAGTAGTCCCATGACCTCACCCAACTGCAAGGGGGCTGGGAAGTGTATGTCCAGGAAGAAGAGGAAAAACACATCATGGGGAACTCTGGTAATGTCAACCATAGCTTTCAATTTTTATCTTTGCCATGTAAATTCATTTTAAAAAATAGCAAAATCTACTAAACCCATAATGTCTTAAAACAGAGGGATGTTTAACACACAAAAAAATGATGATAGTCCTAAATGAATACTGGAGATCAAAGCTGCATCTGTCTTACCCCAGAAGGGAGAAAACAAAGAAAGCATTCTAGATGCTTATTGACTTTCAAGCAGCAACACCCAACCTATGTAACCATACAGATAACAAATGAAACTTGTGAAGCTTCCATCGCGCAGAAAAAGATAAATAAGGCACCCACAGAGGCAGAACTGCCTTCATGAAAAAGAAATGCTCGAAAGAGATTCTCCTCAATAGTTTCTAACCACTTTTCCAATTCAGACTTACAATAATCTGCCTTTCACAACAGGCAGAGCATCGTCAATGAAAAAGCCCAACAAAACAACCAGAATTCAATATGACTCTACTACTCCTAGCTGCATGACCTTGGTAATAATAGCCACTCACCTCTTCTAAGCCTCAGTTTCTCTATCTATAAAATGGAGACATCCATCTATCAAAGGTTTGGGTAAGATTAGATGAGTTAAACTATATAGAGTACTTTGTAGGGTACCTGGCAGATAGTAGGTGTTAGTATTACTTTCCCCTTGGTTTTCAGAGAAGGGAGCAAAATGAGAGGTGTAACCATAAAAGATACAATTGCTCTTGAAAAACATAAGGATAACCACCCCCACCAAGCAAGCCTTCTTTCTTATCCATTTGTATAAACTTCCACATCATAAATGCTTCTCAGACCACGGACACATTTCTTTATCTTATGAAAAATATTCTGGCACACTTTAACCCAGAAAGAGGCCTTCCTTTTCTTTTTCCCACCATCTTAGGAATCAGCCACATTTCATACATTTTAATTATTCTTGATCCCGATAATCTAATGCACAAAATTTTAACACAGCCTTTTATCCTCTTTTAATTACATTAATTAAAAGGAGAAACACAGACAAGCTAGTGTGGGCAAATCAAAATGAAAGACTGCTAAAGATTTTGTTCCCTTCCCCAAAAAGATTAAAAACTGCAACAATGATGTAGACACACTTACTATTCCACATTTCCACGAAAATATTGTTAATTGACATGATGTGCTAGAAAACATTACTCTTGTTTTAGATAAAGAAAGCTGCACTTATTACAGCAGCTTTTTGCAACTACCAATTTTCATTAAACAGCTGAATAAAAAACTGAGTTTTCTTTACATGAAGGATTGACAGAACAAGCAAGAATGGCATAGGGATGCTTTGATTTTCCAGCACTTTCTAAATGCAGGCGCTCGAGCTTCTAGACGCTTCTCCTGGGAGAGAATGCTGGCAAAATGGTAGATATCCCGGAAAATGACTGGAAACTCCCAGCCTCACAAAATAGCAAACTTGCAGCAAAGACCTGCCTTGGGAACATTATCCTGGAAGACAAAATGTCACAGGTGTACAAACTGACATATTGTTTTTCTCAAGGAAAGGGAAGCACTTCTATCCTGGGTGTCTTGCACACTTTCTCTCATGTAGTCCTCACCATAATCCCAACTGCAGCTTTTATTATCCCCTATCGGACAGGTAAGGACACTGAGGTTCAGAGAGGATAAACGAAAGACACAAGGACCCACAGCTGAGATTTGCTCTTGGGTGGGATTACAAAGTCCATACTCCTTCTAATTCAGAGGTTTTCAAGTATCTTCTCAAAAACCAGGTGTGTCTTTATCAGGGTGTGATGTGCTGAGAATAATTTATTGTTAAAAACACAGAACAATACAGAAGCTTCCCTGACCCTCCAGATTAGATCGATTCCTTTCTACAAAAGTCATAGTATTGCTTTCTTAGATATGGGTCCTTTCCTTTAGAACTCTTGTCATGTTTTATAGTTCTACAGCCTTGGTGAGTAGTTATGGTCCATCCCTGGTTAATGTTAATCATTACTTGATTAACGTCTCTCTAACTAGACTGTAAGCTCTCTGAGGGCACGGACCATGCATTTTTTGACTCCCCATTCTATTCCAAGCACCTAGCACAGTGCACGGTGATCTGACAGTTAGTGAATATTTGTTGAATGAATAAAAAGTTTGACAATGATTTTTCCTGTCTAGAAATTAGAGGGAGGTCAGGATTATTCCAGTCAGAACATCTCCCTGCTCATTTGCATTCCAACACAATTTTGTGAGTGCGCAAGGAAAGGATGGAGATAACCTCTCTGAAACACTTTCTTAGCTTAGCATCCAGGATGCCACAGTCTCCTGGTTTCTCTCCTACCCTATGGCTGTTCTTCCTCAGTCTCTTTTGCTGGTTCATCCTCATCTCCTCGACAGCTAAATGTTGGGGTACCCCAGGGCTCAGTCCTGGGACCTCTACTCTTCTCTATCTACATTCACTTCTTGGATCTGGTCTAGGGTCTTAAATACTACCTCTATGCTGATGACTCCAGGCCAGACTTTTTCCGTGAACTCAAGGCTTACAGATCCACCTGCCTATGTCACATCTACATTTGGATGTCTAAAAGGGATCTCAAATTTAAGAAGTCCAGATCTCAGTACTTCACATTCTCCACAAATCTGCTCCATCTGCAGTATTCACTACCTCCATTAATGGCAACTCCATCTTTCCAGTGGTTAAGAACAAATACCTTCAAGTCATCCTTAACTCTTTTCTTCCTCTTGCCCCTGACATCTAATCCAGGAGTTGGCAAACCACATCTCACCAGCCAAATGTAGTCTACTTCATGTTTCTGCAAACACTGCTTTATTAGACCATGACAATGCCCGTTAATTTATGTATCGTCTACAGCTGCATTCATGTTTCAACTGCAGAGTTGAGTAGTTGCAACAGAGACTGTACGGCCTTCAAAGCCTAACATGTTTACTATTTGACCCCTTACACTGAACATTTTGTAACTCTTGACTAGTCCTGGTGGCTCTACCTTCAAAACGTATGTCAAATCTAAAACCCTACCACCACCTCCACTATTCTCACCCTGCTCCAAGCCACTACTCTCTCTCTTCTGAATGGAGACTCAAGCCATCATCAACAGCTGCCTCTACCTCATCTACAGATGCCTCCCCCTTCAGTCTATTCACAAAACTACAATCATAGTGATTCTCTGAACACAAACAAAGCATATTACGCTTCTGCTCAAAACCCACCAATGCTGCTCATCTCAGAGAAGGCCCTTGAGATCTAGGCCCCAGGACTTCTCTGAAACCATCTCCCACTACTGCCTTGCTGTCACTCAAACACTGGTCCTGGAACATTCCAAAATGTTAAAAATGTCACCTCAGTGAGGCTTTCCCGTTGTATCCCAGATCATTCTCCCTCCCACCTTCCTAATACTGCCAAAACTTTACCCTACTTTATTTTTCTTTTGAGCACTTAGCACTCAAAAAAAAGTTTTATTGAGATATAATTTACATATCACACAGTTCACCCAATTAAAGTACAATGCAATAGGTTTTAGGATATTCATGGAGTTGTGTAACTATTATCACAATCTGATTTTAGAACACTTTCACCAACTCAAAAAGAAACCCCTTAGCAAGTAGTAATCACTCTCCATTTGCCCCACTGTTCTAGCCCTAGGCAAACACTAATATAATGTCTCTATAGATTTGCCTATTCTGAATATTTCATATAAATGGGATCACATAATATGTGATCTTTTGTAACCGGCTTCTTTTACTTAGTGTAATAGTTTCAAGGTTCATTCATGTTATAGCTTGCACCAGAGCTTCATTCTTTTTTACTGCTGAATAATATTCCATTGCATGGATATACACTTTATTCATCCATTCATTAGTCAGTGGACATTTGGGTTGTTTCTACTTTACAACTATTATCAATAATGGTACCACGAACATTTGTGTATAGTGACATATCACAACAATGGGGACATGTTCTGACAAATGTGTCATTAGGCAATTTAGTCATCGTGTGAACATCACAGAGAGTACTTACACAAACCTAGATGGTATAGCCTACTTCACACCTAGGCTATAAGGTACTAATTTTATGGGAGCATCAATGTATATGTGGTCTGTCATCGACAGAAATGCTGTTATGTGGCATATGACTGTACAAGTTTTTGTGAGGATGCATGTTTTCATTTTTCTTGGGCATGTATCTAGGAATGTAATTGCTGGGTCATATGGTAACTCTGTTTAACACTTTAAGGAATTACCAAACTCTGCCAAGACTGAAAAATCAGCTGTTAATCCTATGGGGGTTCTCTTGTACGTGATGAGTTGTTTTCATTTGCTGCTTTCAAGATTTTCTCTTTGTCTTTGACATTTTGACTACGATGCGTCCCAGTGTGGCTCTCTTTGAGTTT